GTACTGATACTACTGGTACAGTTACAGCTGGTACTGTTACTAATACTGCTGGTACAGTGACTGCTGGCAGTGTTACTGATACTGCTGGTACAGTTACTGCTTCCAGGGGTCATAAGTCAGGGTCAGACTAATGCAACATTGTGCAGACAGTGTGGACACAAGGTCAGGTGCGGACTGAAGCAGCAGGCAGTGTGGACACAGACTGGGTTTAGAGGTCAGGGGTCAGGGTCAGACTGATGCAACAGTGTGCAGACAGTGTGGACACAGACGGGGGTCAGGGGTCAGCGGTTAGGTTACTGTTAGCATTGATGGTGCTGTTATTCTCTGGAAGGGTGACAGTCGTGTTCCCTGGGGTTCCAGACGCCTGCCTGCTCCACCCACAGCACCACAGCGGACAGGAGACGGGCGCTGAGGTCCGGCCCAGAGTCTGGGCCCGGTTCTGCAACACAGGAGCACCCAGAGTGCTGGTGAGTGACGTCAGTGGGTCTGTCGGAGTGTCGGATCTCAGATGGTCGTTTTCCTGTGCTGATTGCTCTTCAGGAAGACAGTCTCCCTTTGCTGTGTTTCGGATCGCAGAGCTGAGTGATTGTGTGGGATGGTGACTGGCTGATAGGTGCTCAGAGTGAAGGCAGTCGGGGTCTGAATGCGAACGAGCGTTTTTTTTTTGCTCCTATCAGTAGGCGGGTTGAAGATAATGCCCAGGTGTCTCAGTTATTGAAACCAGTATCCTGTTAGCGACTCAGCCGACTGTATTGCAGGTGTCTTAGGGCTTTATTACTGTCTTCAGGCTGCAGCGGGCTGGGAGTCTGCTTCCAGGAGTAGCCACAGATGTCCTCTGTCCGCTATTCGGAGCTGGAGATACTCCTGTATCAGATCCACTTGTTCCGTTAATGTAAGTCTGTGCACTGAGGCCTCTAGATCAGGCTGAGAGGCTCTGCTCTCCTGTGTGATGTGTTGTGTGCAGTCCTCTGTTCAGGACTGAAGATACTCAGTTCCCGTAGCCCGAGCCTGCGCGCCGAGCCCCTTCCTTCGCGGCTCTCCCTGGTCAGGGACTGCTGTGTGACGATGCTCTCGCTCTGTGTCCGTTCTGAGCTACGATCGTTCTGCTGTGAAGGAGCCTTTGAACGAGGCTGTCAGTAGACGAAAGGTCACCGGCAGTCGATGGTCCAATTTTTCTAAATCCAGGAGATGGTATCAGGCGGGGCGGGTTTGGAAAAGGGAGATGGAAGATTAATGTTTAATCCTGAGGGGACCTTAATCTTCCGGCAGTCCTTTCTCCCTCCTCTTCCCTCTCTCGTACTTTGTCTCTCCAGTCTTCTCTTTCTTATCGTCTTCCCCTCTCTCTTTCACTCTCTCTTCCCTCTTTCTCTCCCTCCATTCCTCTCTCTCTCACTCAGTCTCTCCCTCTCTGGGGCTCTGCAGAGCAAAACTGGGGGTGAATGCAGGTGACCCCTCCCCTGGAGCTGAAAGAGGTTAGAGGAGGGGGGATCTCACCCTGGCTTTTGTCAAGAAACAGCTGGATATTGGCTTCAACAGCATGGCTGGGCAGCTTGTTCCACACTCCCACCACCCTCTATGTAAAGATGTTCCTCCTCTTATGTATTAAGATTTGTAGGTTTCTTGAGAAGCACTTATGAATTAAATTACAGTCTTATTGGTATTAGATGCTCTTTCCCATAGTTTTCCAGTGTGTCCTCTGGTTCATGTGTCACTGTTGCCTCTGGAGAAGTCTGCAGGGTTGACCTTCCTCACTGACTGTGAGCATTTGGAGCACTTGAATCAGGTCTCTCCATAGTCTCTGCTGTTCAAGACTAAAGAGACACAGTTCCTCCAGCCTGTCAGTGTAGGACACTCCCTTCAGACTAAAGAGACTCAGTTACTTCAGCCTGTTAGTGTGGGACACTCCCTTCAGACTAAAGAGACTTAGTTCCTACAGTCAGTGTGGGACACTCCCTTCAGACCAAACAGAATCATGTCCTTCCTAGGAGTGTGGGATCTGTGTGTAGTGTGTATCAGGTTGTGTAGGAGTGTGTGTCAGTGAGTGTGTCCTGTAGCATTGTCTGTGTGCCGTGTGTATCAGGTTGTGTAGGAGTGTGTCAGTGAGTGTGTACTGTTGTGTTGTTTGTGTGAGGAGAGACAGAGGGAGAGAGGAGAGAGAGGAGAGACAGAGGAAGAGTAGAGACAGAAAAGAGGCAGAGAGGGGAGATGGGGGTGTTCAAGAGGGAGAGAGAAAAAGGGATTGAGAGGAGAGCGAGGGAAAGGGAGAGAGAAAGGTGTTGACGGAAGAAAAGGGAAGAGAGAGGGAAAGAGGGAGAGATGGGGGTGAAGGCTGAGAGGAGAGGGAGAGAGAGAAAGAAAGGGAGACAGGGACTACCAGCAGGAGAAGGGCTGATTGGTTTGGGGTGGACGGGGGGGCGCAGGAGAAGGAGGAGGGGGGTTAAATTTCCATCAGGATTTCAATCGGAGGAGATCAATACTGTATTACTCCTTACCTTGACCTCCTCGCCACTGACACAACAGGGCAGGCTATTCCGTCTCCCAGCAGGATAGAAAGAGAAGGAAGAGTCGGAGAGAGCTGGAGAGAATCGGAGAGACGCGCTGTAGCCCTACCCCTCCTCGTGCCACGGATAGCTTTCCTGCCAAAAGCCAGATCTCAATTCCCTAATTGAAAAACTTACTCCAATCTTTTTTTTTTTTGCTCCAGTAATATTTTCCTCCTTTTGGAGAGACCACATTCTGCAGTTTCACGGTGTTTATATCGGAGAGCATGTCCAACATATACATGTGTTTGCAGATTTGATCCGTCATTCAGTTGCTCTGTATAAACTCTTCGCACCATCACTGAATCGCTCTGT